TAATTCATGGTATCGTGGGCACTAAGAAATGATTGATGTATTGCTCCTTTACCCTTTCTCCAGCCCCGACAGACTGAGTAAAAACAACAGAATGGGTTTTTTAAGAGCCAGTAAGAATTCCCACGATTACAGACATTGCATTCTGTTGTTAAAAAAACATTACATAGATTAAATCAGACAAATAGGTCTCAAAAAAATAATTGTTCTCAGGAATGGTCTCAGAGTGGGCATATTCTGAATGGTGCTCCTGCAGGTCTGATCCTTTAACATTTTTCTCAGTAACCCTGACAAAATGTATTCTGACAAAATTAGAATGATACTAATGACTTGCAGATGTGGCAAATAACAGGAAGGTAGAGATCACTCATTCAGAGTGATTTGAATCATTGGTAAAACTGGACACAGGCAATCAATCTTCCCAAAGTTAAAGTCACGTTTATATAAAATGAAGAATTCTATCCTCACAAGTATCATTTATATAAATGTATGTATAAGAAGAATCCCTAAGCTTAGCACGAGAACCCATTATACTAGAGTTTTCCAATGTCACTTTAACTTATACAGAGCCCTTGTAATTTCAAAGTTAGCCTAAGATGACATAAGTGGCACAGAATCCCCAACCAAGTTTTTTAAATAGCTATTCTGTACTTTGTTTAAGTACCTCTAGGAAATATATATTGCATTCCTAAATCTGATTTGACCTGAACCAGAATAAAACCAGGTCAAGCTAAATTTATAAACAGAATTGCTGTTCACAGGTGGAAATGTATTAGCACTCTACAATTGGCACAAAAATGTGAAGTAGATAGTAAGTCAAACAGATATAGGTACCTGAAAAAAGTGGAAGGGTAAGTTCAGGATACATCCTTGCCAGTTCGTATGAAAGAAGGGCAAGTGAGACACTGTAAAGAGGTGGCAACGGACCATGTGTACCATACAAGATACTGCCCGGTCTTTGCTCAGCTACCTTTTTTGAATAAACAAAAAGCTTTGATTCAAGGATCTATGAAAGAGAAAAAAATAATGTAATGAGACGATAAACACTCATTAATTCAGGAAATGACAGCATTTCAAGTTTAGATATCAGAGAATGATCCATGTGCTTTGGAGTATACTCTCCAAATTTGAAAGGCACCATAACTAATATTTTTCCATTAATTTTTATATAAATATTCCCATAAGTATTTATAGCCCAGACAAAACTGATTGTTTATTTTCAAAACAAAGCTAAAAAGCAAACAAACAGTACTTTATAGGTTCACAAAAAACCCCACAAAGATAGGAGGACACGTGCATTTGGTTGTTTTTAAAAAAAGTAGCTGATACATGCCTGCATAAGTTGCATGGAAATTTCATAAATCTCTCTGTTGGTGTCAGATGCCTTGAACAGCACCAAGTTTAAAAGCGTCACTATATCAAAAGGATAGTTCCTAGAAGAATAAACAGTACATTTTTGTGAATGTTGGTGAGGAATGCAGATTATATTCACTTGGATTTACTCTGTAATACGGTCTAAAGAGAATGTCATCTTTCTTTTCTCTGTTCTACAACCAGAATATGGGAAAGGGAGCTTGAATGAATACATGCTGCTTGATCAAAGGGCCATCTGGTGAATGCGAAGAAAGAAGGGATTATTTATAATTACCTTAGACTAATTCTCAGGAATGCACTGAGTTACCCACAGTGAGAAATGCAATATCTGTGTCTATAACTGTCAATTCATTTTAATTTATAACATAAACTGTTTATAGAACAGGCCAACACCCATGAGAGAAGATGGGTAGCATGAAAATTTCCAGGGATAAAGTACTTCTTCTTAAGCCAAGCTGCGATTATAACAGTCCCTTTGGAGAAAAGGCGCTATCTCTGACATGAACATTTCCAGATGTAAGACAGTTCTATCAAAATTGTTTTCAAAGTGTAAACACAAGGAATTGCTTCAAAAAGTCCATTACCTATAAAGTCAACATTAATGGTAAAGGTAAGTATATGAAAGTGTTAGCCTAATGAGAATATTGCTAGAAAAGCAATTGCCATGTCACAATATTTGGATTTTCACTAAATAAGTTGCTGCTTTTTCATGATGATTTGTAAATGCAGCTGATTCAATTATGAACCTTCAATTTCTCATCCTAGATATGAGATACTGTGCTCCTGGATGGCTTGCAGAATGCCTGTTTGGATATTTTAGTGTTAAAAAATATGGCAAATAAAATGTGTGGCATGGGACATTCTTGGTAATTCCAAATACTGGCTGCAATGCACCCTCTGCACCTGTCTCTTTGCCCTTCCACTAAGTTTAAAAAATAATAATAAAAAAGTTAAGGGAAGTGGCTTCTTTGTAGAAAGACAGACATCAACAATGAGATACATTACTGCTCATTTTACAAGTAGTTTAAGCAGTGGCCTCTCTATACATGTTGATAGACAACAGAGGAGGAACTGTTAACAGCTTTCAAATATTAATAAAAATCCCAAACATGATAGAAATTGGACTTTCCCTTCAAGGTAAATCATGCCAATCACACTCTCAATTTTTACAGTAGGTATGTGAAAGATTAACTTTTAGGACACAGTGGCATAGGTAACACAATCCGAGGAAAAAGACTGGCTGAAAACCTGATATGTTTGTGTTCATTAAACAAAAAAAAAACCCTCTTAAAAAACCAACTTTGCAAACACAAAATTCCATTTATATTTTTAAAATCTCAATATAATGCAGTCTATAGTCTAGTTGCTCCTGTAAGAACAAAATGTTTTTACAGATAAATTCTAAAATACTTGTTTTGATTTGCTACATCCCAAGTATTTCTCTGTTGAACTATGCTGATCACAGATTTTGCTAAATTATTTTTTATCAAAACTAAAATTTTCAGATTTTAATTAGGTGCAAATTATCTTCTTTTTTTAGACTACCATTAAAATTCTCTATAACTTTTGTCTTTTGTCTTCAAAAGATTAAAAAAATAAAAAAGAGGGGAAAAATTTTCTGAAGACCTGCCACAAAAGCAATATTTATGTTTGTGTCTTCATGTAGCTTGTGCTTGCTTAGCATTAGGAGCAGTGATGACACCAGTCTACAGAAAAGGAACAGGTAACCAAATCAAATGAAAGCCAGTTAGAAAAAGGACAGAATAATTACTTTCAAGCTAATAACATTTAAAATGCTTTTTCTTTTATAAAGTGAATGAAAAACTATGCCAAATCTTTTGAAACTACATTTATGAGCTATGTTCAAATTTAAGTTTTGTGGTTATTTTGTGTCTTCCTGACCAAAATAGCATAAAAATGCCACAGATTTCAAATATATGTATAGTAAGACCATCTTATACCAAGCACACCACTTTGTTTTAGAATCATGGGAATAAAGTGATACAGTTCCCAAGAGCTGTTTGAGAGGATATAATGTAAGATTGTGACTAACTTACAACACAAGATGAACCTGCATTTTTCTTTATATTTGAAAGTGTAGATTAATACCTGCTTCCACACACAGTTGCAATGGCTTTGAAACATCCAGAGGCAAGCTGGTATGAACCAGTATAACATCGATCGATAGCCCAGTTGAAGAGATTGATTTGATCAGGATTCAGTTCTAGCAACAGGACTACAACTTCACAGCCAAGCTGATGAACCTGAGCAAATAAATACATGTCAAAACATGATTGGTGAGATCAAATATGTTCATTCTCTACAATTCTTAGATTGACATAAGCAAAAAAAGGGGAAAATGTAGTATTCAAAATAAGTAAAACCAAATTGGAACATTTATCATAGATTTATTTTAGGAATAGTAGAGTTGAAATGTGATTCAGTTTTCAATACTCCTCACTTGAAGGAAAATTGTATGTATGAAGACTGCATAAATGAAATAAATTTTCAAAAGAGGTTTCCAAAATTAAGCATGGAATAAAGCAGAATCTTTGGAAAATCTAAGACACTTGTTCTTGGACAACTTCCAGTTGTATTGGTTAACTGATTTGTTAACTGTTTATTTCCTCCTTCATGTGAGTTTCATAAAGTGACACACTTTCATGTTTATCCTTCTCTTGACTAACAGAAGCAAGGCAGACAAAGGAAAATACCTTTTGCAAGCCTGGGGGTATGAAAACTTGTATGTTTAATCCAACCACATCAAGCAAACCAACAAATGTCCCTACAGCCCTTGTATCACTTAATCTTGGTACCCCCACTGCTACAAACACATCACAGGTAAGGCTCGGACTGTGCCTTTGTGATCCCTCAGTAGAGTATAGTACTGGAACACCAAACACTAATGCCTGTTAATATTGTCACCGAATGCAGGTAACTACTTGAAAAGACTGCAAATAATATTTAATGTTAATGGAGTGGGTGGGATCCTTCTCATGTAAATCTGAACTAGTTGTATAGGCAATGCAGTTTAGTTATAGTCCTTCGTTACCAGAGATTAAGTATGAATTATAGTGATTAGCTTAGGGGAAACAAATTTCTCCTATCATATCCAAATTTCGCATTTCAAGGGGAAAAGTTAAAAAAAGGTAACTTTAGTCCCCAGCTACTTTATGAGTGTTATATACTAAAGGTCAATTAGATGTGGTGATATAATATTTGATAATGAAAACACGTGAGGAGGAAAAGTATATCTTTTCCCTTCTCGTTCTGCGTGTTTCCTTCCCACATCCGTAAGAATTTCTATTATACATATCACCTTCACATATCTTTATAGCTCCATCCCTACTAACATTCCAAAATCCTATCTAATTTCCAAAAGATTTTCTTTGTAGCTATCCCTTCTTTCTTCTAATTTGTCCAACCTTTTTTTCCTAATTAATTACCGTTTCTACAGCATGTATTCTCCAGCTGCTCCACAAGCCTTTAGGCTTTACTATCTGCATTTTTTTAGCAGAGTCATCTGTGCCGGTATGAGACTTTTAGGGAGAACAGCAAGTCAAAGTGCAAGATAACACAAAGGGAAAGATCATTGTTGTCCCTCTCCACTTGATGCAAATCACCAATCTACTCCTCTTTAATCAAAGAGACAGTCAAATCAACTATAAACACAGAAGGATGACTGGGTAGTTACAAAGTCAACAGAAAAATCCATCTTCACAGAAATGGAAGAGAAAATTGCAAGAACAATCTATTATATGTTCTTTAAAAAAAAATAAATTCTTTCTTTCCTCTCCTGAATCATTTCACCAGCATCGATGTTACCAAGCAGGAAAGGATTTTACATTCTCATTCCACAGAAACTTGAAGCAGGTGGGTGGAAGTACTCCAAATAGAAATACAAATATTTTTGAGCTTGTGCCATTTTTAACCTTTATCAGTAGATGAAAAGCCTAAATTTCTGATGCAAGCAACACTGAGCCATAAGGCAATTTTTTTAGATTATTTACCTATATTTTCATAAATAATAATTCTTTTACTGTTTAAATGCTTTTAAATTAATTACACTTTTGTATTAGAACCTTGCATAAAGCCATTGTTTCCTGATCAAAATAGAATGTATACAGTCATAGTTCTTACAGTCACATCTCTTTACTCACCCAGTACAGAATTAAAATTATTGATCAGTGATGCATCTTGGTGAGTACTTACACGTAAATCCTGACAAGCCAGAATGTTATCAAGCCATTTGTAAAGATATCCGTCAGGGGAAAGACCAACATTATCAAATACAGGTCCACAGCAGAGCACAGCTGACATGGCCTAAAAACACAAGGAACTTTAGTTAACACAAGGAAGTAACATGAATGAACCTTTCAGAATTATATCAGCCCAGCTCCAGGCTAACAGGATTGCCAGTTGGTTTTATTTTTGAGGGAACTATGGTGAAAATGGTAACAGCTGATTTTGGTAGAATTCAATAATTAGGTTGCTATAGATGTTACTGGATTTCACGATAATGCTGAGTTTAAGCATTTTGGCAGGAATATTACAGCCCAGTTTCCCCATTCTTCAACATATATTTTGTCATTTTACCCAATCTTTACAAATGAAGCTACAAAACCAATTACAGAGATTTTTTTTTATAGTATCTTTCTGCAAATTTTAAAGTTGTTGTATACTAAGTGATGCAGCTCACATAAGTACATAAGTTATGATTTTCCCAGCTTTCTTATGTGGGTGAGTTGCAACGGGTTTTGCTGCAAAAGTATTTTATTATTATTGAGCATGTGTCCAGGCAGGCGTGGGAGACAGTCCTGAGATGTGCATGTGATAGTGAATTGGCACTATATTTAATTTCAGAGCCTAATATCCTCTCACTGAATCTGATAACCTGTCAACGAACAGCTATGTAAAATTTTAAAATGCATTCTGGTTTTGAAAAGAATTAGTCTTGAAAAGCATCTACAAAGAAAAAAATGTAATTTCAGTGGCTCATACTGCTATATTCTATGATACCACTGTACACATACATACGAGCATACAAATTTGCATCAAGTATGCCAATTCAAATTTCTGTGAAATGAAGGGAAATAAACCCCACAATTACTTGTATTTTGACTGGAAAATGGCCGCTACTGATTTTGACAGTAAAACTTTAATACCTTTAATGCACAATACTGGTATCTTGTAATCTGATGATTTCTATCACTGTAACGGTCCAGTGGTGTGAACATAATACTGAAAGGTCCTGCCCACTGGCTGAATAAGATGAACAGGTGATGCCTCAAGCTCTGCTGAGGGAAGAGAAATCTCCTGTGGTGAACTAAGTGAGCAGAAATAGAAATAGTTGTGATTTGTTAATGTTAGATACACAATCATGTGGCAGAGATGATAACGTGAATTTCAAATTTCTACAAACAGGGAGATTTTCTTAAATGTTCAGTATACACTTACTCCAATGTATCTAAGCTCCTTTTAAAAATCTAATGTAGTGAATAAGATGCATCTTATTTCTATGAACCTTCAGTTCTGAATTAATGTGTATTTATACAAATAAATACAACATATACATGTACTGACTTTAGAAACAGCAAGCAAGAAACTACTTATAGAATCAGGCTTTTCACTGCTTCTTGCATTCCTTTAATGGTAAATATTTACTTGTTTTTTCCAATCCTTTAAATGCAAGCCCAAACATACATATATCTTATTCTAATACACTAATAGGTAGGGACAAGAAATAAAAGAAACTTGGTGCCTGCTTGTTTATGACAAAGATGTGATATATTTTCTGAACAGCTAAAGTACCTGAGCAAAAGAAAAATATCTATGAATTCTTAACCATGTGGAGGAAAAAAAAGGAGAAATCTTTTAAACAATAGTTTTATTTCCCCAAAGCAAAACATGATGGCAGAGGCGGTACAACATTTATTAAAGAGGATGGCAAACTAATACTGGCCAATTATTTTTCATCTATAAACTGTGTTAGAAGCCAACAAAGTCTAACTAGACAATACTAATACAGATCAATAGGAACAGTGGCTGAAGATGATAGATATTGACACAATAAACATTTGTTTGCCAGGAGGTAAATGTTATGGCTTCATTAGTTATTGATATATTTTAAAGCTGTCTTGTTAGTAGCAAATACATCTTTTTCTAGAATTACATACTGAATTATTGAAATGCAGCAGTTATTCTTGCATTCTCTCAAAACATACGACATGGCTGTTTCATTGTGGAAAATTCATGACAAAATTTGCACACTGGGAACTTACATGAAAACATTTATTCATTATTTATTCCTTACTGTACTCTTTTGAATTCCTTCTTATTTGTTGCTACCAATGCTGTTATGTTCTAAATGACCTGGAGATAGCAAATTTACATAGATTGAGTAATCTCCAGACCTTATCTTCCAGTAATTACACGGACTTTAAAGCAGACTTTTTTTTCCGCTAATGGAATTACATTACATTTTTGAAGTGATCTTGCAGCATATAAAAATCATGAAATCAATTGAAGAAATCTTTGCTGTGTGACTGCAGTCAGGTAACATGGGACACAGTCTCAACATGTCAGGCAAGTTTTTCACTACATTTAATATTGTACATTTTCTGCACCTACCTACATTTTTCAAGGCCTGTCTGAGTTTATGGAGAATCTGGCAATCAAGTCAAAGGGAAGCAAATAAGGCCTTATGCCAAAGAAATCGGGAGCCCCTAGAGGTCACAGACAATTTCTTTGCTGGGCTTTTAAAAAGATAATTTATACATGAATACTACAAGCTTCAACAAGCTTTACCATTTTTTTTCATTTGACTCTTCATAGACTTTTGAAGGCATTTTTGCCCACATTCCCCTTTACATTCATTATATGACAATTCACAAGCAGTGAAAAAAGAAATAAAAAATTACTTTTCCAATACATATATTAAATGCAATTTCATAGTATGTTGACATAATTTAGTACCATACCTGGAACACACTGAATCAAGTTGGCAATCATCGCACTGAAATGTGCTCTCATATCCTTAAGGATTTCAACTTCTTTATCATTTTCAGCCTCTAGAAGCATGCGAGTCAGATCAACATATTCCAAGAACAAGGCTCCAAGGGCTAACGTATCTCTTTCTAAGGCTCCATTTGTACTAGCATAAAGGAAAGTTGTACATTAATATAGAGTAACAGTGTAGTTACACTACAGCTTTCTGAAGAAATGCATAAAAATCTCTCCATATCTGATAGATTACACAATTCTTCAAAGAACATACAGTGTTGTAAACACTGAAAATAATTTCACTTGAAGAGCAGTATTTATGATGAGTACTAGTCCTACCTGTCACTTATAACACCAGCATCAGCTAGCAGTTCAAAAATTCGCAGTAACTGTAGTCTTAGTAGGTCTCGGCGTTCTCGACGTTTCTTGTTCTTGGAATTTAAAAAAAAAAAAACCACAACCATTTTTATATGCATAGGTGCATACATTAAAAACTAGTAACTTTGCAAATGTCAGCACAGTAGTGAGATTTAAGAATTCCAGTTCAAGTATTTCCTTCATGATGGAACTTCACTGTTTTTGGATATTTCATTGTAGCACTGTGCTTTTACATCAACACAGAACTAAATATGATCAAATTTTTGTCTTTGTTAACTATTCGTGAACAAACCGTTAACATCTACCTTAGCCCTCACTGAAAATGTGGAAATGAAATAATGAAATACTGGGTAAAAAATAATTAATATTCAAGGCTCCTGTGCCAAAAACCATGCTATCTTCAGGTAGCAGGGATATTCATCTTAGCTTAACACCATCTAGTTTGGGTGCTGGAAGCATTGTAAAGTGCAGAACAGATATCCAGGCCCCAGGAAAATATTTTAGTGTTTGGCCATCTTGAATTTGGCAATGCTGCAGCTACATGATCACCCATATTCAGCTTAGCTCCTGGCAGACACCACTCTAGCACACTCTTCGATGTGTTGACTGCAGTGGTTGCGCACACAGTTAACATACTCCTGCCATAGAATAGGAATGCACTGTTGATAACTGGTTCACTGTATCTCATTATCTCCTGGAAAGCTGTCCTTTCTGTCTTCTATCTTGCCTTGAAAGATGTGAATGCAACAAGGCCTGTTCTTTGCTGAAGGGCTAAATTGACTTGTTTCTTTGTATCCTGCAACTCCACTAAGCAAAAAACGTGAGAAGGTCAAAAAAGCTGCTATAGCACTCGAATTTGCTGCCAGAACAAGAAGAGATCAGAGAAAGCTCAAATTTTCCTCTTCCGAGCATAAGAATGGCAATACTGAGTCAGATCAAAGGTTCATCTCACCTAGTACTCTGGTCCTGCCAACGGCCAGCAACAGATGCTTGGGAAAAAGGAAGCCATACTTTCCCTGGTAATTCTGACCCAGGACTGGCAGTCTGCAGCATCCTAGCCAAAGGTTTTATTCAATTCATTATGCCATTTGATTTGTCCTGTTTAGACCTCTGTTATTTTCCCTTTACACCTTAAAGGTTCCAAGAAGAACATGTAGAGAAAAAAGCAGTTTTATTGTAACACAGTATTGAACAGGCTCAGCTGCCTCCTGCAACAGTGTCAGAGGCGATGTGGCAAGCTCTGTGCCAGTCCCCACATGGTGGATCTTGTGTCATGTCCATTTTGGTTTACCCCTGCAGTTCTTGGCCATGCTGGTAGTTCTCTTTCTAGTCATAGCATATGTCAGCTAAGGATGTTACTTCTGAATGTGCTGGATACCTGCCTGCTGACATCGAGGCCTGCCATGTTCTCTGCAGCAACACGACCCATACAGTCACTCCTGGGTTTACTGGTGGCGCTGCCTGCAGGAAGGTGGCCCAATTCTTCATATCAGGAGCAATACAGGAATTAACATTGCAGTCTCCTGTTCTCATATGCCTCTAGTGAAATTTCCATGTGCTAAATTTGCTCTTACAGCACATTGTAAATCTCTGCATTCTCGTGATTCCTTTCCTGAGGGTAGACTGCATACGTACGTCTTCAGAAAAGGCCTTTCAAGTCTAAGTTGTCTTCAACGGTGCACAGGCAGAAATGCAGAGGCAACCGGCTACACTAACATGTATTAATCCACTTCTGCCCAGTATCAAAACAAGTGACCTTCAAATCAAAGACTTCATAGAGATGGAAGGCACACGAGTGAACTGAGGTGTGAAGCAACACAGAGTGGAAATGGTAATGGACATTTGCCAGACACAAAATTATTAAGAATTGTCCACATAAAACTTAACATGAATGAAGCATCTGCGGAGTGAATTAATTTTGGTTTATTTCCCTATTGTGTATAGTTGAGAGCCTCTGTCCACCTTTTAATGATTTAACTTCTTCCTGACCACCATTCTTTGCACGGTTTCTGTGCTGAAGACTATGACTTGGCAAACGGGGACAGCACACTAGGTCACCATGAGATTACCTTATTGAAATTGCTGTGGAGGATACAGCAGTGAACACACAGGCCTGGGCAGAGGACAGTATGAATGCAGCAACATTGCTTTCTGCATGAGCCACGCAGACTTCTCAGCAGAGCTGCATGGACACAATGACTGTGTCTACATTGGTACACAGAGACAGGGACTGTTTGTGGCTCCAAAGTCAAGTGGGATATGCTGCCTCATATTCACACTGCTCCAGAAGACTTGTGTGATACGCTTCTCTGGCCCAAGGCCAGAGAAGTGTATTTTCTAATCACAAACTGCCTGCTCTAACGTGAGGGGTGTTTTGCAGTCACAGCAGTGGTTTTGTAACCTGGCCCTTAGGCTGCTGCACACAGGGAGGTAGGGGACAAGGGGAAGCATAGCAGAGGAAAAGCAGCTGGGATAGTTTGGGGGAGGACAAGTTCGGTGGCTTGGTGCCTTGTGGGGCTTATTCCTGGGTGTGAGCTACCTTCAGAGCCATCTCAGATTTCTGTCTTGGAGCCGGCTGGAACCATCCAAAACAGAGCCATGGAGGGAAAACTGCGCCAAACGGGAACTGGGGTCCAGTACTCAAGCTCTCCCCATGGCTTTCCTGATTAGCTGCATAGACACATCCTGTGACCAAACTGCTTAGTCAGACTACAGAGTCTATCACCAGAGGTTTTTAAGAATAGTTTAGACAACATCTGTCAGGAATGACCCAAGATTAGTTCATCCTCCCTTGGACAGATCGGATGATCTGTTGGGATCCCTTGTAGCACATTTTCTATTATAACAAAGGACAGTACTATAATGAAGGTGAAAACAATGATGAATTTGCCAGTTAACCTGCTGTAGTTAGAATAAACAGAGTCAATTGAAACAGATGACCCTGCCTACCCTGCAAATGAAAAGCACTTCTGAACACTGCCACAAAATGTGCTTGCCCAGCTGTGTTACAAGGTATTTTTTCCAGATATTGAAAGTGGATGTCCAATATACCTCAGTTCCCTATGAGGAGGTTCCATATTTGACTGCAAATTTTTCCTCAGAACAGATTTCCATATTGCACATTTTGTATCAGTGATAGAATTTAGATTAAACTAAGTTTGAATTGAATTATTTTACTTATGTTCTTGTACACAATTAATAATTTTTTTGTTGCACACAAAAGCAAGTTTAAACCAAGTGGTACATTTAATTTCCTCAACTAACCTCTGGTCTTCTTTCTAGGGCTTCTTTCATTAGCGGGTGAAGTTCTTCCACTAATTCCCTAAATTAAAAAAAATATTTGTAAACAAAATCTAGTCTCCTCTGAAAAGCATCAATATTTTAATAAATATATAAACACTAATGTCTAAAGTGCAAATAAAAGTTTGAGTATATTTAAATTACAACAAAAGTAATGCATTTGAATTAGAGACAAGTAATTGAGAATATGATAAGTGGGGAAGTACCTGAAAACAAGGGAATTTGTTCTTCCAAATCCTAATACAAGTGATTCTGTTATTTCTATGCTTTCAAGTCTCATCAAAGGCACTAGCTGCTTTAGTAAGACTCCAACAGATGGAGTTCCAATAGCCTAAAATATATTAAGATATCATTGACATTTAATTGTCAGGATTATCAATATTAAGTAAATACAATTTTTTTACAAAAAAACATTGTCCAAGAATCAATATGTATTTTAAAAACATGCTGAAATTATTTTACTGTTATGGATTTTAATACACCAGCCTAACTGGTTGTCTGCTACACCACAATCATCTTGATAAGGCCTAGCAAATAAATACATCTGGGAAATCTCTTTACTTTCATTCAGATTATTGTAATTCAATTAATTTGTTGTTCCATTAAAATATTCCAGTAATTGCATTTGTGAAGCTACTGCTCCTCTCAGGTTTTTACTACCTGAAAACTGTATTTCATATAGTATTCCTTCATGTCTGACAGGCATACCATGTTTATTCAGAAATCTTCCTTATTGCTTAATAATGTTATAAATTTATAAACTGAAGTGCTCTACAAAGAAAGAAAGGGGATGACAAACTAAAGTTAGCTTCAACACATACATCCAGAACTTCTGTATTTTGAATAGTCATCACCCAGAATGTGAAAAAAAGAGTATTTTGAAAGTGCCATGGCTTTTGCCAAATATTTATTGACACATCATGTTGATACAGATTAGACAGATGTTTTAGTTGTTAATTATGTGCCTTAATCAGTTTGCGTATATCAAAATATTCCCGTAACTGAAATACTTTCATCAGGACATGATTTTGCATGCAGATGCAGTTTAAAACTCTCCTAAATGAATAATTTGTTTGAAACAGGATGCGTCACCTTATTATCATAGTTGACTGTTCCATCAGGAGTGGTAGCCATGATCTCTGGTGTTGAAGCACGCAAGTGTCCGGGGCTCATAATACTGGGCTTTGCTACTCCAAAACAGAGAATAAGATAGTTTCTCCACAAAGTAACATAGTTGTCTCCACTGCTTGCTGTACTTGTTTTCTTTGCATTAACAGGAATACTAGAGTTTAAAAAGAAATTAAAATTATTAAAATCTTTTCCAAGTCCTAATTACACACTATCTTAAAATATTTTAAGAGGGAATAAAACATGCTGTGTTGCCACTAACTGCTATTCAACATGACGTGACACATGGGAAAAATCAATGAAGGTAGAAAGCTAGAGTTTTCTACCTTACAAGTTGCAATTATAAAACTCAAAACTGAATGTTTGGGTAGCACCTTGCAGGACTTACAGACTGATACTGAAACATGAGACTAAAAAATCTTGCATTAAAATCACACAACCCATAAAAATGAAAGTTAAATGCAGATTGCCACTTACTTTGGATCCACAAGAGGCATTATCAGCTGTAGCCTTGTGAAAGCGTACGGCCAAGCATAGCTGAGAGCTGTAGGACAATGTTTTGGTAAATTCTCCTGTCTAAGAAAACTGAAGAGGCAGAGAACCCATGGGTCTTTAACAGACTGTGCAAATATCCAGACATGGGAAGGACTTTTCACATCATAATGGCTGTTTACTAGAACAGCATTCCACTCCACCAGCCATTGCAAATCCACACTGTGTGTTAATGGAATTGTTGTCTATGGAGAGAAAAGATAAAAAATCACAGTGACAGTCATTTATTCCCTGCTATGTTCCCCCTCAGTACTTGTATTTATTTTCATGCTCCGTGGCCCATTTCTGTTGGATTTTTTTAGACCAGCACTTTTATGCTGCCCGTCACATTGCCCTTTCGCTCAGGAGGAGCTTTTTACAAATGCTAATAAGAGCTACCTTGTTATTTCCCCCCCGGTTCTTCCTTAAAAATCCTATTTACTGTGATAGGCACAATCACTTGCCCTTAAACTCTATGATAACTATTGATTATGCTGATCAATATAATCTCATTATTACTTTCTATTCTCCTTGCTGCCTTCACCCATCCACTGTCTCTTGCATGAGACTGCAATCTGTAATAGTTACAGACTGTCTTTATGTTCATTGTCTGAACAGCCGGTCAGAACCTTAGCCCATGATTAAGACTCCTACATGCTACGACAATATGATAAATACCAATGCTATTAATAAATGTTCTTCAGAATTCATCAGGGCATTTGAATATGCATGTAGGGAATTAAGAGGCTGAAGCAGGTGCTTAAGCAGTTTTAATCCACTTTAAATCCTGCTACTTTCAGTGGCAAGTAGGGTTCTCTTATCAACAAACCATTTCTCTACTGTAATTTAAATTTTGTCTTAATAAAACAACATTGTGGAATGAAAACTTAAAACACATGTATTTTGGCATTCTTATTATTCCCTTATCAGATCTCAAATAGGATGTAACAGTAACAGATGCTTCTGCTGTTACAAAAGTAATCACTGAATTACCACCCTCTGCTGTACCTGTCAGAAACCAGGTACACAGGCAACACATTTGCTTTGCTATATTATTAATGCACAGATTTAAAGCACAAAATCCAAACCTTCACCTATAGAAACTGCAACATCCAAACCCAGCTGCTGTTATTTCAGCTGAATTTCCTAATTCCTGGGTTACAGAGTCAGAATGTCTCTTGCTTGCTCAGTTTCTGATCCCTCAATTTTCCTGTTTTCAGCTGCACAATGGCCTGACTGCACCATCAGTTCAATGTCTCCTTCCTACCCCAGGAAAGGGCACTCATGTGGCAAGGAACAATTGTTTCTTTAAACTTAATCAGGCTGAAAAGTGCCCAGAACTGATAGTTTCTGCCCTCTGGACAAGGGCACTAATCTCTGAGACAGTATGTGAAACAATTTGCCATATATATATATCAGTTCTTCTGCCAATACTTTTTAATTCAAAATGCTTAATGCGTCTCTGCTTCCTCTGGTGGCATGTTGGACACATCAGGCCCATGAGAGAGTGAAAGTGGGGATTCACTCCAGCTGTGAATTACTCTAGAGCTTAGGCTTAGGTTGCAGGCAGGATCACTTCTGAGCACACAGGAGAGCTAAAGCTTATTTCATTCTGGAATAGATGATAGCAGTGAATGACTTCTAAGCGCCCCAAGCATTATATGGTGCTGGAAATAAGACCTTCTCAATGGTTCTTTTTGGATGCAGGTCACAGGTCCAGAATCTAGGTAGCTTTGTTTATAACTTTTTTTTTTCCTATAGCTAGTATCTTCTATATCCATAGTGTGATTTTTCCCATGGAACAGAATGTCTGGGGCATTGTGGAGCCTTGGAGCTCTTGGGTAGATGGCTGGAGCCTTAAAGCTGTATGATTGATTTCTAGCAGCTTTATTTTTAGTATTTAATGTCTGACATTTCTTATGTCCATGCGCTATGTAAACACTAGCAGTAACAGTAAAGCAGTACTTACTGAATCTGAAACAGCCACATGAATAAAACTTTCAAGAATAGAAGAACTCAATTGATCCATGACGTCAATCATAGGCCTGTCATCATCCTGCATAACACAGAGAACACAAGTTACCTGCTCTCCTGACCAAATTATTTCCCTTCTTATTTTTCTGGTACATGAAACAGAACCACCTAAAAATTATGACATGAATCTAAAATGGCTAAAAATATTAATTGGTAATGATGGGTGCATTTCGTCTTTTTCATATTAATCTCAGAACCAAGTCCAGGCTGTGGTTTGAAATGAAGTTGATTTGTGGCTATAGCTCACTGCTTACAGAACAAAAGCACATATCAGAAAATCCCAAATGACTTTGGATAGCTGGTATCAAAAGACTGAAAAATTAGCTTACTGTTTATTAAAGCATTCCTCTGCCATGAACACACATATTTGTGTTCTTAGGCCTTTAAATGGCTCACTGAGCTGTGACCGCCAACACACAACATGACTCTCCATATTTCTATATCCATAAAAAAGACTTAGAAGTCTTTACTATACAAGGAAAATGTATGTGAATAATCTTAAATGTGTCCTATGCTGTGTTTTTTTACAAAATGGTATGCTACAGGAATGAGTTTCATTTCCAATACAGATTTATAATCCTGACAATACAAAAATGATCCAAAAGTTTTTACAGTGTCTTTTACATTCACATCATGCCAAGAGAAAATATTAAGTTGCTGTACATGTTTTCCTTCAAATTCTTGTACAGGGCACATGTTATTAATGTTACATTGTTGAGTACACAGAAAGGTTTGTAGCATTAAGGCAAATAGAAATGGTAAGCTCAAACCAAATGCTTTTTTATGAACTAAGTGCATACCTGCTACACTGCAGCAATTATGATAAAAGCAACTGTAATAGCAAGTTGAGCTTTATCTTTGGTAAATTTTAATTCAAAGTTCCAGAAAAGGAAAATCATACCTCTGCTTGGCCAAGGGCCAGGAATAAAGCACGGATCTCTCGGAGGATTAAAACAGCTAGCTTACGTGTAGCAACCTGGAAACTACACAGCAGAACCAGTGCAAATCCTTCGACTGCATGTAGTACATTAGAATAGGGGCTTCTTTCAGACTGTATCCTGTGGCTGGATCCATTTGGTATCAACTGTGGAACAGTGCAAAGGGGAAAAATGGAGTGATGGTGGTTGAAAACCAGGTCTCCAAGAAATATTCTATTTAACAGGGACATATAAAGAAACAAAATGCAGAGGCCATGCAAATGCTGAAGTAGGAGACTGACAGCATTCCCTCAACCAACCAAGTTTTGTTGCTTTAAGTTACCTTGTTCCACAAAACCAATATATGAGCATAGTTCTTTGGTCAAACCCCTCCCTCTAGTTTGCAATTCAACTACCTACTTTGTCCCATTCTCCACTAAAAAAAAGAATGGGTAAGTCACAATGTGAAGACTTCACACTTTTTCTACTCCAGATAGCAGGTCCTCAGGTCCTTCTTTGATCCTGCAGCAGACAACACCTTATCCTGGTAGCTGACATCTAGAACCTCAGCCCATCAGTAAAGTGTAATAATATTTACTGAAAAATATGTGAGGCTTTTCCTTTTCTACATTTTTTGTAATACTGTTGTTACCTATTAATTAATGGTCCTCTGCGATATAAAGGAGACATCATCCTTGCCCAAAGGCAAAAATTTCCAGTGCGATTGGGTTAGGAAATAAGCCTGAAAATCATTTCTCATAGTGAAATTATCTGTGGGACAGTGCAGATAGGAGGAGCACGAGCAAAGCTGTTCAATTCCCAGGAATGTTTGTAACACATGGAGACAGCAGGCTGTAGAAACGGTCGGGTTCTTTGATGGTTCTGAATCAACCAAATGAAATGGCTATGGGAAAGGAAGATCCACGTCACTTTTCAGCATTCCCACTAGCATTATCAATCAGTTTCAGTCCTGGGAAAATGTCCTTCTGCCACATCCACATCCACATATTTCACTTTATGTGCTTTTGTTGATGTGCGTATTTCAGTTTGACATGCATTCTCTTATGTTGCTCAACCACAATAACATCTGCTGTGTTACACAAGGATGCAGTTGTCCTCAAAAGACAGCTGAACTAATTACCTTAAAAAAATCTTACGTAGTGAATTCTTCTCAGGTGAGTAAATACAAAATACACAAACCACAGCAACACCAAGGAGCATAATTACTGCCTTCAATTAGTATAAATGTTAGGACACAGATCTCTTGATTTCATACCTCTGCAGATCTGGTTTTCGCCTGTTCAGAAGCTTTTCCTGGAGTATGTATTACAAGCTTCCATTGCGTAAGCAACTGTAGCAGCAACTTCAGTGAAGTATCAAGAAGGGTATGATGCATATCATTCACTTCACGTAGCAGAAAATTAGTAAAACCAAAGAGTACATCCTCCCGCCAGTCAACAAAGTCAACAAGTAGACCCTGAAGAGAATTCTGTGCAATGTGTCGAAGTTCATCATCCATATGGATGGATAGCCTGTAAGTAAAAGTAAATGTCAGGTAATGACAATCTAAGGAGTGTTTATTGTGGTAAGGAGCATATGTTTCTCGGTAACTTAACACTGACAGAAAATTCCCAATGACAATGTAAATTTTAATAATGCTATCAGGGTTTCATTATTACTGACCACAATTAACATCCTTTACCTGTTTTTATACTGTAATGCTTGCTACAACAGCACCTGAAACAGCACCTCATGGATCTAAAAGAAATCTTTGTTCGACCCCTAAAAGATAGTATCTTTGAAGTACATAATTTGGCAACTTTGCTGTCTCCCCAAACCAAGTATACTTTTGATTTACTCACTTGTAAAACAACTTCTATTTAGTTATGATAACAAAAGGTTTACAGGTTAATACATAATTTCACAATTTATGTATTTATTTCTTTACTTTCAATATAAAGATAAAAGAATCACAACAACTCAGCTGCCTAACAGTTAAAATGAATCTTTAGCCAAGAAGCAAATCAAAATTATTGAAAGCAAACCTTCAAAAGAAATAAAAAGAAGCATTTTATTTAAAAAAACTGCTTCATGTTTTAAACAACTTAGGATAGGGAAATGGTAAAAACAGCCTCAGGACTTTCCATACTTTTAAAAACACACTGGACACCCCCAAAGTTATTCTGAAAGATGGTGCAATTGTAGATGCTATTTTCAAATTTTATTTCCTTCTGCATTTGCATCGTGTTGAATTTCTTTTCAACATAAATGTTCTTTATACTCTCTTTTGACACAAGAATTATAAAACCACTTCTGTGTTGGTAGCTTAGCAGAATAAAGTAAATTCAGAGCAGTGTGTTCTGCAATTTTTGGTTCATTGCCTTTATGATGTATTTTGTTTTAATTACCCACGAGACTGCCATTTTCTGTAGTGTGTTAGAACTCATTTTCAAAGTATTTTATCTACATTTAATCTACATTGCTGAAAACGAGGACACATTATAAAGAAATGGACAGAAAGCTAGGAGAAAAAAACCCCAAACAGCCAAATGGAGTGGAACCAAATTCCACTCAGTTGGAAGTGTATGATGATATGCGGATCATAACAAATTTGATTCATTATAGCTGCCTAATTGGGAGGCAGGGGACATTTCATTTAAGCCAAAGGAAAGCAACTGCCATGAAATTTCACCCCTAGTGAATATGACTCCAAAAATAACTGTTACGCTTTAATAACCACATGACTTTCTATATAAATTTAGAAACACATTATTTTCTTGTGCTAAGAAAGGACCATTTTTGTCTCCTCTTTGGAATGTCAAAACCAGAAAAACAAGCAAAACCCCTGAGACTATGATTAAGTCATCCATGAAATGACTTCCACAATGACACAAAGTAATAACGGAAAAGAGGACACAAAAGACATATGTCTCTAAGCCCAAGTTACTGCGCAACGGCATTATCAAATACGACTGAATTCGAATTGAGTATAAGAACGCATCTATGTATTACTACTATACGACAGGCAGCTTGAGGAAGCAAGTAAATGTTACTTTGTTTGTTTGCACTTGCGTCAGTTAAATTTAAGAACTACTTGGGAATTTTTAATGAATGGTTTCAGTGGGCAGTGAAAGGGCAAAAGGTACTTGACATCTGCTTTATGGTTTATAATTTGAATACAGCTGTCCTGGAAGAAAGTCTAGCTGCTGAGTTACAGGCTCCTTCTGGAAAAAGCCAAAAAACACATCTGTTGTGAGGATGAAAAATTCAAATCAAACTGTGAATAAAAGAACCCATTAACCCAAAGATGTTATTTTATTTCTAGTGAAAAGAAGGTATTTAATAGCTTTCCACCTCAACAACACAGCCCCACACATATGCCTGGCAGAACAGCTTCGCAGGTTCCTTTCAAAAACAGAGAGGAGCTGAAATCTCGACTCTTCAAAGATTTTTATCCTTGTATTGATTTTAGTCTAAGACCCAGAAAAGACACAATACTGTGATGCAGTGTTCTCTAGAACACAAACCCTTACCTACTGGGACTACTTTCTCATAATTGAGAGAAGTAGTCAATCTGGACCCAGACGTCCACTGCTTCTCAGAGTCAGACTCAGATAATCCAGCAGACCTACTGCTTGCATTGTCACACCATGGAAACTACCCAAGAAATGCTTACAAACTGGTTGTGGCAAAATAATCATAACTGACCTTTTCTGTATGAGGTTTGATGATAGAATATAGACCAGTGGTTACACCGACAGTTGTGAGACTTAAGGAGGGAAGCACCAATTTATGAAGAAATCCACATTAGTCTCCAAACTCTCTTAATAGTAGTGATAGGTCTGACCTGGACAATCCTCTGCGATTGAAGAGCTGTGACCAGAATGGATATGTGCTTTCTACCAGTGCAGTTAAGATCATTACTAAGGATAGAAAGCTAGTTAAAATATTGGATTAAAGGAAAACATGTTCATTTCCCTTATGCAGAATTGATGTTACTGATTAATATGGTTTCTGTATAATTTGATAATGTAATGATTTAAAACAACCCACAAGTCATTTATAGCAGAGGATGTAAACACAAGGAAATGAAGCTGGCCATGCACCATAGCACACCTACCGTTGGCTGCAATTTTGGCTTGTTTGGCTGTCTGCACTCTTTACTGCTAGCAGAATTAATCGTTTCACTCTTTTAGCACATCACTGGGAGTTGGGTGTTCACAGAGCAGAAAAAACTGCTTTTGCATGTAACCAACCATCCCATTCCCGCATCTGCCATTCCTCACAGACATTTCAAAAACAAGAATGGAGTAGCAAAGATTGCTTTGTCACAGTTACCTGAGAGCAATACTCTGCAAGGGCCTCTTGGCTCAATTTACCACCATAATCCACTTACATAAATAACACATGCTGGAATCTTTGACTTGGATGCTAGAACTGAAACGTAACAGACTTTTCTGTACTGACCAGTACCTGCTATCATAACTATTTGCACGAAGGCACTGATTTGACATCCTGAAACCTAATCTGTTTTAGCAGTCGTGTTGTAGACTACCTTCTTCAGTGAAGTGAAGTCTGCCTAGAAAAGTTTAATGGACCCTAAGCAGGGAGGATAGGAAATTTAAACTTATCCTTTATTTTCTGTCTTAGAGCAAAAAATTAATTTATTTTAATTAAAATAATTATTATCAATTTAAAAAGTATTTGAAAAGATATCACGTCTGGCACATTCTGTTTTATCAGACAGACATATGGGAATCATAAATCAAAACTAAACAGGTATCTCCATGTTTTTCCACTACACAGAAAAGATGTTCTCTCCTGTTAATTTGAATACTGTGATGGTTAAAAAAAGGCAATAAATGGTGAATATCATGAAGAATAGTGAATATTATGTAACCTATATACTGATGGAAAAGAGTTCTGGATGACATATCTGCTCTCTTATAAAATTAGGAGTGTATAATATAAACACAATGCATGTAAACAGATGCTAGGACTTCTATGTCTTATCCATTAATATCAGATTGCTTTTTATAAGCGTATGTTTTTGTCTAAGAAACATGCATTCTGTGGCACTTGAGCAGTCACTTAATGCTTGAACAGCTTACCTTGCCAGCAAGTCGATCAACTCAAGTTTTGACATTCCATCAGGAAGCAGTCGAGGAATAGCAGCAACGCATGTTCTGAATAGATCGATTTTTGGTTTTCTTTCACCGCTGAAAAATTAAACCAGAATTTATACTAAGCTTAACAAGTAACTGTGTTAAATGATCTACCTACAGCTTTTCCGAAAAGGCTGGACACAGTGCCAGAGGCCTACTAAGGACATCAGGACAGAAATCTAGACCTTATAAATGAAATAAGAAAGAAACATGAATAAAGGTTTCCATTGAATAAATGGTTTCGCTTTTGACATTTTTCATGCTTCATATGCATACAGTGCTTGAAAAAACAATTATTACTGACTTGTTTCTCTCTGAGAGCAACTAGCAGATATATCGAGATGCAGTTATAATGTAGGAGAGTTCCTCCATCAAGATCAGCATTTGCGTGATGCAAGCTTTGGATGAGGCAATGAGGAAAAAGCTGCCGTGTTCCCCATCACAGTACGGCTATGTAACACCAGTTGTATAAAGCAAATAGCAGACATGTAAGAAGCCCAAATAACAAGACTGAAGATCCAGATAGTTGCCCTCAATAGGGCACGGATCTGTGGAAATCGCACACCATACATTATTACACTGAAGAAGAAGCGTAATTTAGAGGTACGTATGGCCTACCAGTTTCAGTTGATCCTTGCTTGAGATAGCAGCACTTTAGCAGCCATTATCAGCTAAAACATGTTTTAGTAGCCCCAAGGCTGCTCTAATCTGTGGAATGGCCCAACTGCTCCTTAACAGCCTGGGAAAGTGGTTGAGTCTAAAGTTCAGCATGAACCAAAAACTAGGTTGGGAGTGCTTAAGTCTTCTATAAGTAGCTCAAGTTTTAGCTGTTGATTATTTTCACTACAGATGCAGTTGTTTTCTGACTTGTTTCCAATATTTTTTGTAAAAATGCAGATTAAAGAAGTCCTTCAGGCAGACCCCAAAATGTGGGGTTTTATTTGCTCATTTTAACTCAGTGATCTATTATTTGATGACTGAGTATAGAGGAAATAATCAAAGCATAATAGCATTTCAAACTGTACAGTCTTTCCCACAATATTACTAATTATTAGCCTGCAATATGCTTTGGAGGAATCAAAGAGCAAGGTCTTATTTAGGGACTCAACTATAAATACGCAGAGGAAGACTGTTCCTGCTTTAATATGCTTCTGGTTGAACTAGAAAAGAATGGGGGGAAAAAAAGAGAGACACCAAGAAGCGTTGTATGCTACTTAACACCACACTGAAATTCAGTGACAAAACAGAAAATGAACCTAGCATCCCAGTCCAATGCCTTGCTTACTACATTACTCTGCCTCTCCACCCAACAGAGGACATTGCATTTGGATACCTTACCTCTGTGTTCAGTCACAGAGAAAGCTTGAATGTAATACCATCTGACAAGTCTAAAATAAGATTTATAGAGTAACACTGAGCATTCACTGAAATAATGGGTCCAGAAAAGGCATAAACTGACACTAGGCTTACTTAATTCAAAGACAGTTTTAGTGAGTAACATTCTCTTAACACCCTAAATACTTACCAGCTTTGATATGTATTACATTAATAAAATAATATGATATGATTTTAATCTACTGACTTTAATTGTACAGTGAGTGGAAACTATTTTCACAGTGAATTAGCTCTACCTTATTGTACCTATATCCTGTATCCTAACAGATAGAACTTGAAAGAAGGTGTCAGTAATTGACTTGAAGAAGAGTAAAATACAACATCTCATCTGAGAACTTGGTTATAAACTTTGAACAATTATTGCTAATGAAAATACTGGTTGCATTGGTAACTACTGCAAAATATTATGTTTTTATAGTTGTAATCAGTAAAGTGCTATCAGTAATTCTATCTGCAGGCAAACCAATGAATCTTCCCTGCAGACTTGAAGTAGAAAGTGAACTTTGCAGAGTTTCCTTATTATCAGTCCTTGGAAAAGGTAAACAGTTTGTGCATTTAAAATGGAGGCAAGTAAAATGATAGTCTGAGAGGAAACTGTTATGAAGGTAAAACGAGCAATTATTTATAAATATAAAATCTGTAGGTGTTCTGTGGTTTATCAGCTGCTCAGACGACTAGCAGAAGAGCCAAATCTGAGGCTCAAGTTTCCAATTTATCTGAGCTACCAGGCACAGCATGAGAAGTGTCTGGCAAGGGGGGCTCAAAGGGCTCCGCAGTCATCTCTGGCTGACTCAGGATCCAACAGGACGAGCTCTGGATGAACACACTGACAGCTGTCCTCACCTGGAAGCTTATGTTTCCATACCAGCGGTATCAGATTTTAGTTTGGTATTGTCAGGAAAAATCTTTGAAGTACTTGCAAGAACAGGTTTGTACATTAGAAAAATGGATGCCCTATTCTAGGTATAACTAGATGTTGGAAAGTAATTATAACCAGTACTGAAATTCATATCCCAGTGGAGGATGCAAAGGACCCTCCTTAGTCAGGATTTCAGTAAGACTCTTCAGAGTGGCATTTATTACTTCAACAATAAATGCTGTATCTATGTATTAAAGCCAATAAGAATTCAAAACATTCTAGTGAAGCATAAAGTTCTGTGAATGAAATGATAAGCAACTACATAAAAACAATATATTGGCTTTTCCAGTTATCACCCACAATGCAGTTTTTAAAAGGGGCATTTTAAATGTTGATAGTAGCAGCTAATGATGTTTTTCATGAGTTCACATGATTTTAAATTGATTGATAATTAAGCATCTCAGATATTATTTTTCCTTGGAAGAACAAGTAAAAATGTGTTCTAATGTGTTTTTCCTTTCAAGTGTGTATATTAAGTTACAGCTCATCTGGATGTGAAGTACAACACAAAAATATAGTAACCTTCATGTCTAGGTCTTCCAACCTTAAAATCTTTATGCTGCTGACAAAAGTTACTATCAAATCATAAGACTTTCTGAAATTTAAAGCTCTTTTAAGTGTATTTGTTCACTGCCACTAAAAATAAACAGCACTTTGGTGATACAGAGAAACCACAGAAATGACATTTAGAGCTAAGGCTAACTACACTTCTTATCTAAGTGCTCAAGGTTTTACTATGCAATTACCTTTTAGGAATAAAATGTAAGTTTCAAAACTTACTTTCTCTCTCCCAAAAACCTAGATACCCAAAATGCTTATGAAAACTGGCTGTGACTACTGAGCAGACATGAAATAGTAATACTGGCATTTAATATAAATAAAGTAAGACAATGCTAAAGACACAAAGAGCTTACAGTCTCATCTATACAGACACAGCACAAGCACGGGCAGAGGAACAGCAGTAGAACATTAAGACTATCAGCTATAAAAGGCAGTTGAATTTGACCAGTCATTGCAGTCTACCTATCACTCACGGTATTTTTAGCAAGTTATCCTTTTTTTGACACTATACGAAAATGGCAATCTCAAAATGACCAATGTCCTTTTCATTGCACCTTGAAATTTTTTCTAGGGGTTGTTTCTTTTCTAGCATAACTATCGTGTCGACTCCTGTAACAGGAAAGATATGCAAGGTCTTCTTAGAGTTGGGATCTCTACCATGGGTGCTCTGCATGTGTCAGCAAATGAAGTCTCTGTGTCTCTAAAAATCTACTAGACGTCCCCCTCACTAGAACGCTCTCCAGGAAACTTCACTCATTAATCATTTTGGATGACAGTGTAAAATGCTGCTGTTCAACACCGCTGGTTTGATTCTGTTCCAGTGGGGTAGTGCTTAAATCCAAGACTGTTATCACGAAATAACTTGGGTTTTTAATTAAGATTTGATTTTGATTACAGGCATGAATAGTAAATGGAATTTTGAAAGATTATTATTAATAAGGATTTACTGAATTTGTTGCGTTCATTTTGAAGTTCAGTGATGCAAATATACCCTGAAACAGTGTTCTGAGCACAGGCTGACAGATTTTCCACTCTGGGCTTTCAAATTCTACCACCTGAACATTCATAGGATTCACACATGATTTTGGCTACATCCAGCATGTCAATTCAACTCCAAACAGTGCAACATGCAAAGAAGTACAATTAACCTGTCATAAACAGTTTTTCAAAGTATACACTAACTAAGCTAACTGTTCCTGTTTCTTGCTGTTTCTCTGATGACTCATGATAGGCAGAAATAGAGGAAAACTTCTAAAATTACATCTCAATATTTTATGGGATTTACTGTTCTTTAGCACTCACGTAATCATGTCTTCAGGTTCTTTGTTAAGCATCTGTATGTTGGTTAGCATCATGCACCGCCCCACTTCCTTGTCAAGGTGTCTGAGTATGTTGTCCACAGCTTTTCTTACTTGAGAATAATATAATGACATACCTGCAATAATATGCATTTTTGTATAATTTGGGATATTTATAGATACGTATATTTTGAAAAAGAAAGCTGCTTACTCACACTGTGCTGCATGAATTAAGAAAAATATTTACCTCATGAGATAGCATATTCCACTAGTAATGATATCCTGATTCCAAGATGGAATTCCATCTCCAAAAAGAATACTGTTGTATATATTTTTAATAGCCCAAGTGATATAAACACACACATTTTTTTCCCAGGGAAAAAATTAAAAAATACCTAGTCAAAATATGTCCCTACACAGTCAAATGAAGCTGCACAATTTGCAAAGTTATACAATGCATTTTGTGACTCTTCACGACAGAAGTAAAAGCTCTAATCTAGTAGCAAGGTTTAAAAACTACAGGCAAAGAGAAAAAAGGAATCTGAATGAGCTCTCCTAAAACTTATTTGGTATGGAAATTAATGTAAAGATATTTTATGTGAAAAAGAGTATTAGACATACAGCTTTACATCAGCTGATGGACATCAAATACTTTAAAAATAAAACTTGAATTAACTCTTTTTCCATATTCATCAAAGGCTAAAATGTTAATTTTCTTAATGAAATTTTAGATGTTAAAACTGAACAATATAGTTTTAATCATCTATTCTCTAGTCAATTCTTTTCCTATTTGATAAAGACAATGTAAGCTTAGAATTTCAAAATGACATCAATTTTCAGATCTGCTATGATGAAAAGTTCAACGGCAGAGTAGAAGGCAGAAGAAAATACAGGAATTACCTAGCTTAATCTAGGTATATACATGGAAACTAGAACATTGTATCATAAAATAGTGAAGACATTGCTAATAAAAGATAATAGTGCAAACATTTATTATCAAATGCATGAGTAGTAACCAAAATGAACTGAATTAGTGACAGCACTAAATACTATGTCTGGTACAGTTCAACAGCAGTGGGTCTTACATTACTTATTTTCTTGATATTACTACAATGATCCAGCAATAGTACAACACAAGTCTTTGCCACTGGTGTGGAAATATGTAGACTTTGTTTCATTCACGTAACTTTGGGGACTTAATAAAGTACTAAGGTGAAGTGACAAATTTCCTTTCTTGCCACCAAACCCAGGCACTTCCAAGGCATGATACAGAAGGTTTTTTCCTTCAGCACAGGATTCTCTCTCCACAGTGACTACAAAGGAAGCCCAAGGTAATGGCGTTTTTACCTTAGGCGCTTCAGTTCAGCTTTATTTTACATTTAAAAGTTTCTATTATTTTGCAAGTGTCACTTGGTGTGAGATACTGCAATTAAAAGGAGGATATAAAAGGAATCTTTGCTGGTTTTCGAAGCTGGTGCATTTTCTGAGTGCAGGCACTGCTTCTAATAAGGTGAATATCCATGAGTAAGCACAGCTATTCAGCACTGAAAGAAGCTAATTCTTAACTATCTGTGTACTTAACCCTCCCCAGAACACAGGGTTGCTACCATCTGTCTAGCATGACTGAGGACTTTCCCTGAAAACAATTAAAATACAGTATCTGTAAAACTAAACCATGTATTTCATAAGAATGCACAATAAAGTAAATGCTTACAATAAGAACTCAATTGAATACTTAACAATAGTAAATTATTCTGCTCAGGTACTGAGGACTTTTTCACATTCATTCTAATTCAAGTTCCTGTATCGTCCATTCTTACCGACCTATCATTTTAGCTTCCTCCTCTGTAAGAGTTTTGCTCAAATACGTTTTCTTCACTCTGAGGGTGTTTCCAGAGGGAAGGACAGCTCCAGTCACTGGCATTGGAGGTTCGCCATCTTTTTGCTGTAAGCTATCCGCAATTACCAAGAAAGCTCTCAGACCAATATTCATTCTCTGTAAAGTTCAGAAGATAAATGAGTATCATAATCAAATAATCATATTCTACTCATATTCTTCGATCACTTTAAAATTTTGAGTATGCACTTGCCAGCATTTTTTCTGTATCATCTCCACTACATCTACTCGTCTGGTATGTTTTACAAAAAATGCCCATGAAATAAATTGTGAATTCATATCTGCACTATTAGCAGGGCTCTCCCCTCTCTAAACTTTGTTATAAGTATTTTCATTAGTACATTATCTTTTTATCTTCAGGACAAAACATGTGGACTTGAGATCTTAAGTGGACCTTCAGTTAAAAACTAATGCCCTATGTGGTCATTATGAAAAAAGATCAATAACTGTTTTGAAAGGCCCCAGGGTTGACCATACTGTATGAAAAGTCTGGAATGGTGCTCAGCGTCAAAACTGCAATATGAAAACATTGGGAAGATGAGGCTAAAAGTGACCTGAATGTCTTCAGGGAATTCACCAGAGGAAAGCTTGCAGGCTTTGCATTGCAACGATTAAAAGACCATAATGATTTCAATTTCCGAGGAACGTATTCCAAAACCTCAGAGGTTGTCCTACTTACAGTCTCCCAGAGGTACATTTACATAGATTATGGGTATTTTTTTAGAACACTAAAGACTACATACATCAAAAAGTAGCCCTATTATTTCATTGGTTTTGGACTTACATTGTTGATGACAAACAGTAAAATGTCAGATTTTGATTCATCAAGAAGCTAAAGATTATGTCCATTCCCTACGAGCTCAGCTTCATGCAATGCTGACACACAACGCCCTGTGTAGGACATTCCTGCAGGTGACTGACCCAGACCATGCTGAGGGCTGCCTGCTCAAGAATTCTGCTTCATTTTTCTTTATTCTGCTGAAGAAAGATGAAAGCTGTGCTCAAAGTAAAGCTTGTCTTTCACTTCTGCTGCTTTTGACAGTAAAAAGTTTAATCTACTTTTCTAAATTATTTTTGGTACCAAATATAATTTTTATAAGGTAACTCATTCTATTTTAACATCTTAGTGAATAGATATGACTTTTCAATATTGCAAGATTAATATGGACATATTTTATGAGATGATCACAAATGTGTTTTGTTTTTCATGTGTTTATTCTTCATTTTCAAATGAAAATGTTTGCTAAAGAAGCAGCAAATATATGCTTTTTAAGAGAATTTTTTAATATTTTTGCCACTTATTTTTATTTATTCTTTTTAAGTTTTTCAAATTTCTGATTGTTTTCTCTAGGGAAAGCACTAGGAATCTGACTCATGACGCTAATGCTAGTGGAGCTTTACCAGTCAGAGTGGTAAAAGTTTATTAGAGTTTTTTCCTTTTGATCATCTTCAATTCTTCTTGCATCATGTACTCTTTTTCAGTAAAACTGTTTTGAAAAACATTGAAATTGTTACAGAAAAATTATTTTTATATTAAAATAGTTTAAGGAATTGCATAACAACAAAAGAGTGATAAGGATATACTCTGATCAATAGTTAATTATTTATCTTTTTGCTTTATACATTTGCACTACTTCCCATTTGATAATCTTCACTGAGGAAACGAGACAGGCATAAACAATGTGACATTTCACAGATTCAAAGTCCACAGATGTATTTTACCAATAAATCAAATTCAAGATTTGGCCTGAAAACTGGACAAAGGTGAAAGCATGAAAGTAAATGTAGCACAATACCATACATGCCAACTGAAAAATATGCAGATGCACATCGTACCTCAGGGTTGAGACTGAAAGCTTTTGCTGGTTTTCCGACACAAAGGAAGTCAAAGATAATTTCTTTCATTGCAAAATCTAAACGTTCCTAAAACAGCAAAAATATTGCAGATCATTAAGCTGCTCACTTCTGCTACTTATTTTCTTTAAGGCAACAGAATGTTGAAAACCAGTTTAATCAGGATTTATTTAAATGTACAGAGAAACAGATTTTCAGAAGTATGCAGAACATATTATCAGATCTAAGCTTTCAACACTGCTGTATGATGTTGATAAATTCAAAAATTTATAGCATTTAAATAGAAAATGATCCATTTTGGAAATAAAGCTTTTAATTATTTCATTTAAACTGTGATAATTATGGTACTAACATAGTATTTTACATAAAAGGAGCTCGTTCACAGATGGCACAGTTCAGGGAAGATTTTAAGCATCTGTTGAATTAATTTCTATTCAGAGACTTTAAGTATGTGCTTAAGTGCTTTGCTCAATGGAAATGTTTTCTGAATTTAAGTAATAAAAGAGATGAAACTTCCAGCACTGAAGCTTAGTTTATTTTAGCAATTGCCACTTGAACTGATGAAAACTAAATGTTTCAACTACATGCTGAACTTGTTTTTCCTCTGACTTACTGCTTTAAAAGCAGTGCGACTCATTGTCCTATATAGTAGGAATGATTCAGTATCAGGACAAAATATGGCTTATTCTTTTGAACTTTTTTGACGGAGCCTGTCAACAAATGCATTTTCTGACTTGCTGACAATTCCAAAAACTGACAAAAAAATACATCTGAGTTAAAGTGAAAATATTTTTTCCATTTTCAGTGGAATGAGGTTAATAAAAACTTGCTGTTCAAAAGAAGTCTGCCCCAGCTCAATCTATAATTTTATCATTGCCTATATGAAAGATACTGATAATGGGGTTGCAAAAAATTCAGACAAAAGAAGTTTACTTATTTGTTAATTTGTTAGTGGGAAAACAAGTTCTTCATTAATTGGAAAGACATATGCATGATTCTCCCATACCTGTGCAATAAACTGTATTATCTTCACGAAGATGTTTAAAGGCATATCTCTTGGCACAACACCACGGGACCCTTTTGGGAAAAGTGTTGTGACAATAGTAATAAGTCGGCTGTAAAAGAAGGAAAAAAGCATTAGACATTTCTGGACCTTGCAGACCTTCACTTACCATGAAATCCTACTCCATTTAGAAAAACTAGAATGTATATTTCCTTTGAAATGAAAATGTAATGGGGTATCTTGTTCTGATCCTTTGCTACAAATTCAATGTCTTTTTTTCATTACTGAACGACAAGTAACAATAAACCAGTGAATGACATGCAAAAATATCTCTAACTTTAACCAGGCAAAGAGTGATTTTTAGTTCTTCCAAAAGCAGAAACATTTTAGACAGTAATTTTAATAGGTGGGAGAATAACTGACCATGCCACAGAAAAGGAGTATTTTGTTGTGTACATTTGAGGTTTTTATTTCACAACAGGAATAGGTTCAATTCAAAGGAATTCAGGAGAACTATAAAACCTCTTCACTGGCAACATCCACTCTACAAGGTCTAATTAGGATTACAAATACAGCATCTTACCTTTGGGTAGCTGTGTTGCTTTCACATTTAATTCTGATCATGTAAACCCACAGTAGTCTGTACAGAGATTCCAGTGCAACTCGAGCCATTTTTGGGTCCTTATTCTAGAGAAATACATAACGTAAAAATAAACTTCAGGCACAAATCAGAAAAGAAGATCTGCACTTACTGAATGTCAAGGTGCAGAGTTTTCATAATGACACCACAAAAAGATACAGCCTCACAGTTGCCCAACACCCCATTCCTGTAGCTGCAGGATGCTTATGCATCTTACCTACCTCTCCTGGTATTAACTTAAATTGTCAAAACCCCCAAGTATCAAGTTAGTTAAATTAAATACATTCTATAACTTAAAATCTCTATTTGGAAAAAACCTCAATTTGACTTTGAAAAGAAAACCTCATCTTCAGTTGATTCCGTCAATTCAAAAGCTGTTGCCCTGTGGTGGGACTTGGTATGAAGAATACAGCAGATAAATAAATGTACCGCACATATTCAAAAGTGAAAGGACAAAAATCTGTGGATGCCTAGGCATGATTAACATGGCATCTGGGATGAGCTGGACTGAATTGGATTATATGTCTGTATTGATGTTTATTTTTTGGAAACTTTCGAACCAGTACAAGATCATCTCTGGGTCTCTTTATGCAGTTTTCTGGTTTTGTGGCTGACAAACATCCAGGGAAATCATGGGCATGTGCACAGGCAAGATCTGTGCAAGTGCATGGTGGTTGGGTGCCCAGTGCTTTGGAAAGCACACAGCGTGTCCCCCTTTGGAAAACTGAGAGAAGTCAACCACCAATCGAACCTTTTTAGCATTTCAAGGATTTTTGTCAACAAGAAAAACCCAGCCAATAATCCTATGAGAACAAGGAGTATTTGGCCTAATATATCTGACATCTTCTTCACCTTCCCAACAGGAAGTATTGGCACTGGAGGTGGTTCCTTTACCACTACTGGCAATGCTCAACTCACTATTGGTGCTGAAGAATTTGTCAAAGTCAGTGTGGGCCTTTTGAACACAGGAGCAGTTGGCGACGGAGCTCTGCCAGGATCTGTTCTGTTTCTTGACTGATTAGTGCTGCTGGCTTTGATCCATTGTTGTTGCTCTTCTAGAAATTTCTTTTTTCAATGCCTTCACCTCTTCTTCTGTGATTGGCAGAGAAGCAACTGGACTGCCAGGAGTGAGGCTCATTTTCTTTAATTCCTCCATTTCTGTTTTCCAATAATATGGCATTAGATATGGCCCATTTGGGCCAAAGGGATATTGTGTTGGTCCCCATGGATTCATTCCTGAGACAGGCATTGTTTGACCTATTCTTTGAAAAGTAAGTTCTGCATGCTTGGCCCAAATTGTACTGCAGCCTTCTCCTTGTCCCATGTAGTTTGGAGACCAGGAACTGTTGCTCCCACTGAATAATTTTGCCTCTAAATGAAACACAGTGCTTTGACTCTCTCCTATATAGAATTCCTGCCTTGAATAGTTTTTTGTTAATAAAGTTTAGTTAACAACAAACGTTCCATTTCAAAACCAGAACGCTTACTAACTTTTACGCTGCTTTCAATAGGACAGTATGAAATGCCCTTTGGCCAGAATTTGGCTGGGGTCAAATACTTCCACGTCCTGGCAGGAGTCTCCTCTACTAATTCAAGAGAAAAAATTGTTTCCGTAAGATCAGAGATTTGCCAGTTTATATTAAAATCAGAAATATGATTAGAATATAAACCTTTTAGCTTTCCCAGCATATGCTTGACCTTAATGGTTTTGGGAAGGAGATTGTGCTCTATGGGATGTGGAGGCTCTTGAGAAATCTGATCCATTATGTGGTTCATGGGAGCCCACACAAGATTGTGGAGTCCCATATACTGTCCTGGTGTGCACAACTCTCCTTCTAACAGAAGGATTTCTCCTTCTTGTTGATCTAGCTCTTCTTCCAGCTGCGTGAGTTTGGTTTGGGCTTTGAGGTGCCACTCTGACTGAAGTGATTGATTCAATGGTTGGGGCATCTATTCCTGTGTACTGAGAAGGAGTGGCCAACCATGCTCTTAATTTAGTCACTTATTCAGCTACCTTATCTTCTCCCCAAACTAAAGAGTGAATGTTCACCACATTAATCTATGAGCCCTATGAATCGAAGTATATGTCAATGAATTATAGGTGGCTGAATTCCAATTTGATTTGCAATTGGTAAGGTAGGAGCAACATCACTTACATTTTCTCTAATGGTTTCAAATAATTTGTCAGGATGTTCCTAGTTTTCAGAAAAATCTATATTACCAGCTGGCTCCTGAGAGATCTTACAGCTGTAGCCACCTTTTCTAAAGCTCATATAACCTCATAAACCCCCATAAAATCAGTTGCAATAACAACATGTTTATGTTCTGAATCTCTTTGCAAATAAGGTTCTAATACATCTTCAGCAAAAGTAAATAATTTAGGTACAGGAGAACGAAATCTTCAGACAGACTACGAGCATTTTGAAGAGCTATTCTAACAGTAGGATCCATATGAAGAGAGTCAATACAAATTGTTTCATTAAGTCAGAGACAAAGTACAGCAAGAAAGCAACAGGAATGAAGGTTGTAATATATACCTTGACAACAAGCTTGGGAATTCCACTTTTGGAGAACAGAGATTCCCTCCACAGTTTGTCTCTGAGCTGAGAAAGTGGTTGCATGTTCTACCTGTGCCGTTTGCAGAAACCTCCTGAGCACGGGTTCATCAAGCAGCAGTTCAGAGGCCATTCACGTGAGCTAACCACTTCACTGTGCTTCTTATATTGGCCTTTTCAGGTAGGCACAGGACTATCCTTTCATGTGGATTCACTTTAAGTGTGGAATGGGACATGGGTTATTGTACAAGTAGAAGAAACATGGAGGAGTAGTAATGATAGCTAGCACATGTGTATTGAACAGTATGTGCTGGCCTGGAACCACAGCAGATTGCGGTGGACAGCTAGTCTTAAACTTCAAAGATCTAACAAATGGTAAAGGAATAAGAATGGATATGTGGATGAAACAGCTTAAAATAGTTTAGATTTTTTTAATGCAACTTAACAGAGTGAAACAGGCATTGGAATTAGTGTCCTGCAACTAGTTCCATTCTGATAATGTAATAACAAGTGCTTTGTATGAGAATGCCTTTGTGAAAAAAAGCAAGTTAATATTGGGTCAGTTTCAGTACGTCACTGGAGCTAATAACTTTCATCAGCAATCTGGCTTGTTTCACAACTGTTTGACGCAGGCTTGGTTTGAGTTAGAGAAACAGTAGAAATTCCAACTAGGCACAAGAATACTTTTTTCTTATTGAAAAAATCTGCACAGCTAAAGAATTTGTATTGTTGGAAATAAAATTATGTATGGAATCAGATAATTGCAATAATCCAGCAAATTTACCTAAAACAGATTTGTAACAGATCCATAGTGCATATTGAAGTTTTAATACAAGATTAAAACCAGAAGATACTAACCTTGAGATTGGATAGACAGTTGTTGAGGAAAATATGCCATCTGTTTAAAAAGAACTGCTTCTGACTGACACAAAGCAGGCATGTTACCAAAGGGTACAAAGCCTAAACAGGAAATGGATGTCGATACCATATTATTTGCATGTCTACACAACACAAAAGTAACTTAATAGAGCTACTGTAAACTTAAACTCCTCCATTTTGTGCAATACATGTTAGCTAACATAAACACATTGTTAAGTAGTACAATTTAAAAGGAACCTTTCTCTAAAGATGTTACAGATATGTTTAATGGATGAACTAAAAATAACCAAATGCCTACTTATAGCAGTACAATAAATCCAAAGATGGGCCATAATTTTACAGACTCACAGGGCTAAGTTCAGTCAGTTAACTGAGAAATGATAGCATGGCAATAACTAAACTTTATTATAATAACAACAGGACCCACAGAGACTGTTGGGAGTTGTGAATGCTCAGATGCCTATTAGTCCTCAAAATCTGCAGTCACAATATTTACTGAGAGACATGTCAAACACTCTACGGAATTGTGTTAAAATACAGGCAATGCCTGGATCTGCTGGTAGTTAGATCTTGTGAAGTGAAAAATAAAAAGAAGCAAGGCAAAAGATAGAAGTTCAAATACTGGAACCTGGTCTCTTTGTCAACACTTACTTTGACACTCATCTTGTAAATGTTGCACTAAAAAAAATAAGCTAAAATGCACCTATTAATTTTGAAACAGACTTTGCTATTTCATCAAGATCTTTTTGTTTCAGTTGTCATGTTAATATACTCAATCAGGACTTTAAAGTTATTAGTCAAAAATAAGGTAACTAACTTTATCTTAAAGACCAATGGTTCTCAAAATTAACCCTAAAATTCTGGCTTCAGTCACAGCTCAAAGTATAAATACACCATAAACCTCACTTCTGTTCCTGTAATAGATAACACAAATTGTCTATAGCTAGGTTAGACCTAGTTTCTTGAGCAAATGGCAAATTTACATTTATTTTTATTTTTATAATCTTCATGTCCAAATACATATGGGAGAGGATAACCGATGTCTTCTCATGGAAGACTTTCTTGCCATATTAACTTTATGTCTATGATAGTTGAGTACTTGACAGGATCACAGAGTTTAGTAACGTCCCATGAGTGTTGCAACCTCTAAGGAAGAGCCCTAGCAGGGAAAATACAAACCAGCTCCTGGAGTTTCCAAATTCTCTCCGTTCACTATTAAGAGAACCTCAACAACTAGCTCATGCAAGATAATTTTAGATAGAAAATGAGGCAAGATGAATGCCCCCATCCTGCCTGTACAGTGAGTGCACTGATTCACAAAACACTGAGCTTGGAAAGGAAGGTCCTCAGACTCTAAAGAGTGTGCTTTCTTCCTGGAAGCCTGGAAATATGCACCGCAGCTATTTCTGCCAACTGTTTGCCTTTCCCCTCCTCCTCCTCCTCGCAATGTTTGTATTTCTAATCACACCCTCACAGGAATCTATTCTATTTTGTCACTTTTAACTATGTAGCTTCCAGTGTGGTATGTGTAGACAAGCAATCAAACGCAAAGCCCCAGCTGTGCAATCCTTTCTCAAGCACGTAGTATTGACTTTGGCAAGTACGGCCACCAGTTTGGGGAAGTTCTATTTAGTGTAAAAACTGTTCAGCAAAGCTCTTATCCTGCTGCAATTTCAACAATGTTTTATTAACTCAGCAGAGTGGAATAGAGCCACACAAACACAAGCAGAATGAAATCGGAAATCCATCCCAAGATGCCCACTAATTCAAGCTGGATCAGGACTGCACCCCCGGGGATGCTCTGACTGTCCCTGGGATTGGTGTAACGGTGGCAGAGAGCTCAAGCACACTCCTCCCAGCAGATTCACTGGCGCTAGTGACTGGTGTTTGCCAAGAGCACTGGGAAGAGGGAAGCCTTTTTGACTTTCCCCTAGAATGAGGGCGGACAAATGACAACTTTCTTTACTTAAAAGGTCCAAGACTTCAAAATGGATTAGCTAACGCTGCATTGCTGACGTGCGCTGACCCAGTTGGAGAGACAGACTGCTTAAGGCGGCCAGCATCAAACTGACTCAGATCCTCATTTAATTCAGATCAACTCATGCTTCCAAAAATACACTTCAGTGCCACTGTTCATCTCACAAGAAAAAAATGAAATAGGGAGCTGCACAGTAGCCAAGTTACGGATTTAAAAGGGCATGTGTTATACATTTTTTTGTTCCTACAATGTATTATTTAAGCCCTGTGAAAGAGTTGTTCCCACATGCCTCATTTGTTCTCGCTTGACAAGAAGTGAACTCTATTCTTTCTCCTCTCCTCCTAATGTTTACACATAACAAGTATGAGAAAACCTAACCATTTAATAATCACAGAACCAGAAGCTGAAAACATCTGTTTGAATCAGACTGATTTAGATCATATTCTGAATAAAATAAATATGGTTATTTTCTGCAAACACAATAACCTCCCTGCGCATAGAAATGTATTGGTTATAAAGCTGAACACAGAAAAAAGCTTTGCAATTTCCCAAGAGTCTTGCTCAGAGATATTTCTGACAAAGAATTTTAACCTCTGCTTTTTTTAGGGTTACTAACCAGTGAGTGCTTCTTTCGTGAGGAAAGTTCAAGTGTTGTATCATACAGGCTTTCAACAAAGTTCCTCAGACAGGGGACATTCACTTCATTTTTAACAGCCTGAAAGAAAATTTCATATTAATAAAACACTATTTCACAACCTGTTTTATCTGATTTAAAGAAATTATGCAAACAACCTGAAAAATAAACTCACAGCAGCTACAGGGACAAGAATTTCAACAAACAGTCCTGCCAGTGCATGCTTGATATCTTTGTCTTTAACTTCAAGGAAGTAATGTGCACATTCCTAAAACAAAACAAAACAAGAAACATAAATTACATATCAGCTGGAATAAAGACCTCTAAATGTTTGCTGTATGCACATGAAGTGTCAGTGACTATTTTTATCTTGCAAATTCCACAAAAAACATTTGTCTATTAACTCCTAAATCTGCATTTTGCAGCAAGCACAAAGCAGGGTATAAGTCAAGATCAAGGATCTGTTACTCCAACCACAAACTCTTCACTGATTCCAGCTGCGCCCAGCAGTGTTTTGGGGATGGAAAGGGACTCAGGGGCTGACCTCATGCCTACCCTGTGCATACCTTCAGGAGCAGGATTAATAACCCATGTGGACTGCTTTACACAATGCTCTGAGAGGCCAGAAAAGGAAAGTATTTCTTTGGTAAGATACTCAAGGCAAGGAACAATCTTACTGTAAATATTCTGGGATAAATTTCACTGCTAGGATCCATTGCAGATTAAGGGTCAATATAGAACCGTGCTATGTGAGGGAAGAGATCTGAGGTGCAAACCACCACAATTTCCAGCCTGCAACTGGGGATTGAGAGAGAAAGTAAAAATGTACTTTTGCCCTAAACATGCAGTGAACTACTCTCCACACAGCTGTGCTGCTCAGGAAGTGAGGGAGGGGAGATAAGCATCCACCCACTTGTGTCTTTCTGTACAACTTCTCTGAGGACGACAAATCATGTTCCTCCAGTTGCTTCTTCCTCTCGGGGTCCAAGGCTCAAACAGCCACTGACTTTACAAGAAAGGTCCCCACTGACCTTTTTTCCTGCACATGCATGCAGAGCAGTTTATACTTTAGATCATGCATAATTTTTCCTGGCTGCAATCAGGATTCTGCACCGCATGGCTTCAGTCACTCCAGCCATTTCTGCTGCACAGCTGAGGCCCCTATCCAAAGGCAGTAGCCTTCCTGAGCTGCTTCTTGACTCCGTGGTGGAAGACAGGGTCTTCTGGAGCTTGCTCCTGAGATTAGCTCACCCTTTGGAAGTCTCTCTCTCCCTACTATCCCCATCTTATGATGCATTGTAATATATAAAAGAATTAATTTCATGCTGAGATACTGTAGACAGGGAAAGTAGAGATCATTTGCATCCAAATTTTGACTTCTACTATATGGGGAGCTTTACCACTGATTTCAATAGCAGTGAACGCTGGATCCCAGCAGCGCTGTGCCATAAAGCTGTGCCAGAGAGTCATTCACTCCTATTAGCCATGTGCACTGAACACACACTGCTTTGATATCTTGCCAGCGGCGGATAACTTACTTACATTAAATCAACACATACTAAGATGTGTTCATATAATGAAGCGTAAGTTAAGAAGAAAAATGAGCTGTTTCTGGGTTGTTAAATATGTTTAAAATATGTTGTTAAATATGGTTTAAAACACATTGCAAAACTGAAATAGAATGTGCGTCCTGTTCAGGATGTAGAGAAACGGCTCTGTGTGTCTGTATGCCTGTGTATTTGTATTCCAATGTCAAAGCCTTACTTGTGGGCATCTAACATTGATTTTTTACTCCATTGACACCATCAACATGCTGATCTTTACACGGAGGTTTATGTAAAACACGTATTTTACTGGATGAGTGGCTACAAACCATGTAGTCATGAGAATGATCCCAAGAAAAAACAGGGAAATAAAAAGGCTGAGCTAGATAAACCTGCTGATGGGAACGGAACCCATTGTACATTACCAGCAAGAATGTGGACTTTTAAAATGTTTAAACATAAAATATTTTCTTTCCTTTTACAAAATGATGTAATCTATTAATTTAAAGCATTCATGATAGTCAAACTATGCTCTGTACTCGTGGGTCTCTAAACCGAGTAGGTACAGAATGTACCCTACAGGAAGGGGGGTGAAGGTGTGGTGGAAGGGGACAACACATCCAAGGGAAATTCCATCCGGCTTTTGCCTCAATTCTTTGTCTCTTCCTCTCTGTTTTTCTCCATCAGAAGTTCCTCTACTCTCTGGCAATGATGTCAGTGGTGGAAGATTCATTTTGGAGGCAGTGTGCAGCTAGGGAGACATAGCTAGGCAGGGACACAGGGCAAGGAACATCTGTGGGATGGCAAGGTGGAAGGTCTGGAGTCTACAGAAAGAAACCTCTTTTTGTTGAAAGGTGAGATGTGGGGACTAGGGATAGACAGCTGATGAGAAATTGGTATGGAATGATACGCTCCAGAGATCAGAGACTGGAGCACTGAGGTTCAGAACAAGCAGAAAGTAGCTGCACATACATTTATGTGGGAACGACAGATGGAAAATCTCCTGGAGTATTACAGGAAAGATGAAGGGGAGCCCATTCTAAAAGGTCTGGGAACCACAGTTATATATTTAAGAATTTTACCTGCATAAACTGAAGAGAAGCTTCAAAGTCCTCCACAGGATACATCTTAATGCGAAAGAATTTCATTCCCATTATAAGACTGATAATGCTTTGAACTATGTACGGGCTTTGTTCTTTATGCCGTAACTCTTTTAACTCTGCCATAAATTTCTTCTTTACAGCAGGAAATCTATGAATTCACATTGGTTAGTTACAAAAAAGTACACATTCATATTTGAAATGTGTTGTACGGTATGTAAATGGGGAAAAACCTAAAGAAGATTCAACTTTGGTTGTAAAATACCATTTAGTCAGTATGTGAATGGATTTTTTTTTGTTTAGTTTTCTTTCACTTCTGATAAACTCAGAGAAGAAAACAAAGCGTACAGCCTGATCTCAGTCCCTTTAGATAACCACATCTTTCCAACTATTTTCTTACCACGCCCCTCTTTTACATAAGAGCTAACAATATCATTAGAATAACCCCCTCACATGTTTTTTTTCAAAAATCCAAGATGAAAGATAGTTTTCTTGGAAGTACCTGCAATGTTTTCAAAATAAAATGCTTAAATGATAACCACGAAAATATTCAGATAGGCTGTTCCTCCCTTCAGGTTTTTTCTAATAGTAATTACAGTAAGACTTAAGCATTAACTACAACAACTTGGGATGGGGGAGTCTGTGACCATTTTTGATCCCCCCTATGAATCTATTGGAAGTGTCCTTTGAGACACACAGTTCATAAAAATAACATACAGGAGGATCACCCAACAGGACCTCCTGTCCTTTTTGAGACAAAATGAAAAGAATGTCATTTTCCTGGGCAGGTGTAGCATGTAACTTTGCGCCTCTGATGACAGAGAACACAGGAGAGTTGAAAGAAACAGGTTGGCAGGAAGAATCCCTTTAGTGGTAGCAACATCTTAGCAAGGCCCTTCAGAATTGGAGAAGAAAAAGAGTATTTATGGAGAACAGGTATGTTCTAGCTTTGACAATCAACTTGAAGCTTTGGAATCAGATGTCACTTCCCTCTATGTCTTTGACCCAGCCAATTTAGAAGCCTCTGTAAGGCCTTAGCTAAAGTTTGTGAAAGTTATATGATTTCCAGGAACTCAAACTGGTTTGGGTATGTCAAGCTAGAGTTGACTGGTTTTGTAGAGCAGACTCACTCTCAGCAGCCCCAAGAAGTCAGGAGACAGAGATCACTGTGTTGGGGCAGTAAATTTCACTCTCTGCTTGGTTTGTGGTGCAAGCACATGATGAGATGTTATACTGGATACATGAGTTTCTGAATCTGTCTGCTTTCAGATTCAAACTTTTAAGACCTGATCCACAAAGTGGTTTATGTCATCTGCTCTAAGAGGACAGGATCTTGTTCATCTGCAGGATGAAGGATTCAGAAACAGTTGCATTAAGTTCTGAACTGAAATAACTGCAGAGAGACTTAAAAATGTTGCTGTGTTGGAGGATAGCCATTTTTAGGTTTGCCCAGCTAAAGAAAAAATAGCATATAGAAAAAAATTAAAATAATAATAGCTCTGTTCAGCCCTTTGGGCTTTCCACAGATGTCATTGCTGAGATAAGAAAAATAATGCTGCTTTAGTCAAGTTGAATTTATTCAGTATCACCAGACTAGATGCAGAAAGCCTGTGATTCCCTAGAGTTCTATGCTCTAGAACACCTGGATGAATAGAGGGCCAGTGAGCTGAAATGATTTATCCCTACACTATCTTTTAAGAAAGTGAGAAAATCAGAATATTCACATGCTAAGCAAGTAGAACTTCTGAGATTTATGGGGGAAATATGATTTCAACTTTGCTTACTTTGCTTGAGCTAGAACACCTATTACTTCTGCATACAAATCCGCAACAATGTGCATATTTCCAGTGTTAGGACCAAGGTACCTAGCAAGAGACAAAAAAGAATTCTTGGTTGAGAAAGCATAATGCTTAAACCACTACTATTAAAAAAATAAGAAAGTAATTTTTTTCATAGAATTTTTGTATGAAAAAGGACCTTACCCTTCTTTGTATTTAAAGTGCTTGAAAGCCAAGTTAATAACATCATGTACCAAACTGTCTATTACAGGATGAAGTGGAATCTGAAAACACAAAATAAAACATAACAAGTACACATATATTACACTTCAAGCTGCATACCTTAGTGCTTGTATGACTCATGGGTATCTTCCATACAGAAATATGGTATCAGCTGAAATAGCATCTAGCTAACAAAACAGATGAAATGACCCAGCCATTTAAAGTTTATTTAGTATTGAAGAGAAACACTTTAGCTCCAAAGACTTGGCAAAAAGTGAAGTGCGTATGAGCACAGAATACTATGTATCCATCCTACACGTGCAAGAAAGATAGCAAGGAACAAGCACGCAGGATGTATCTCATGTTTTTATTAGACTCTTAAAGATGGAAAAAGAAAGAATGCTAAAATTCAGTTGTATTGGTAATTCCTGTAATTTATTAGTTAATGGATAATTTAAGAACTCCATACCTGTTTCAAAACTTCTATTAATACTAAAGAAAAAATAAAATCAATAGCCAGATCTCTTCTTTCCATTAAATAGTCCCTCTGCTGTTCATCACTGCAAAATCAAACCAGGAAACACAAGATTTAGGTGATGTGTCATAACTCATATTATATGCTTTCTTCAGTTACACAAATACAGATAACAGGAGATTGTGTTCCTTTTAAACTGCAGCCCAGCATTTCAGAAAGTAATGCACTCATTTGGTCTTAAAATCTGAGATAAATAGACCAAATCTAACTTGTTACTTTCACCTTCTTTGAAATGTTTAAATGCCACTCTCCATTTCCTCCTTCTTTTTTCCAGTTTAAGATCAACACAAAACTTTTTCAAGAAAAACGCCAAAACAAAATCAAGGAAACTTTTGGATTCTGTATTCTAACAAATTAATTTCTTTTCAATTTCATTGCTGATGGCACCATTTAGAGAGTTCTCAATTACACTTTGGAGGCAAATGTAATAAATTATTTTGTGCTATCCAATTCATATTTAGACTCATGACGGATTTTGAAAAATTTCTTAAAAGTACCAATGGAGAATTCATAACCAAACTACATTCTCTTTTTTAACTTTGGCATCATTTGTCAAACATTCAAATGCATTCCTTGTGCAGAACAACACAGATGAGCTGTCTGAGGTGAGGAGCTTGCAATACAAATTTAAAAATATCCATTTAGATAACCTGATCACAGTTTCAAAGTACTGAAAAGATAACATGAAATATACAATGCTTTTTGTAAAATTAAATGTTAAAGGGACAGTTCTGCAGTCCGTTTGAAGCAGTTACCACTCATTTCAGTGATATTTTTGTTTGCAGAAATTCAGCACAAATAAATGTTATCTGCTCATGGTAGCGGGGTTGGAAGTAGATGATCATTAATGTCCCTTGCAACCCAAATGTACTTATGTGCTTATAATAAAACATGAATTTAAGAGTTCTGCTTGATCAGTGATGAAATAAATTATTTGCATTTTGGTTTTCTTGGTTTCACATTAACTGGAGAAAGGACTGGTTATATGTTCTTTCTGTAACACTATAAATTGACAGAGTGGCCTTGGTTCACTGCTAAGCTGACTTTCAACTAAATTTTGGGTGAAGTTTCTGAAGACATCTATTTACAAGCAGGTGGTCCTGTAACAAGTCAAGAGAAAGTGGCACAAGGATTCATCTTGTGCAAAAGCAGACATCTAGTTGATGAATCATGCCTTCATATTGCCTCCTTCTACTGACATAAAGTGTCTGGAAGATTCTGATTCAGGTTCATGTTAACCTTGATATCTAAAAGTAGCTCCTACCCCTTGGTTCTGGCAACTATTGCCTTCAGTAGTTACTGGATTATAATGTAATCCTAAGGTGAAGAATTGCCTATGCATTTCCAAACACCAGGTTTGCCAGGGTTGATTCTCCTGCTTCATTAAGATGTGTAAATGTAGTACCAAAGTATTCAGAAAAAAAATGTAAGTAAGTTTGAAGAATATACCTGTACCAAACTGTCAGACCTCAATATAATATAAACTAAGACCAATCTGTTTCTGAGGAACTACTGACATCATAAGAGATCAATATATTTGTTTTGGGGTCTTTATTTTTGTTTGCTTGTTTGTTTTAAGAGCTAAGTCAATGTTGCTAAAGCTCTTTGACTGATTCACAACTTTTTGGATTGAGGATAGCTGTATGGGAAATTTCTATGACTAAGCAGAAGGCTGTATAAAAAAAATCCTTCCAAGGGTCACAGAATTATTGTCTGCTCACATGAGTAAAGATGACAAACACAGTTAACACAAATTACTATTTAAATGATATTACAGCATCCAAAACAGCAGAAAGAAACAATCTGAACTATCAGGAGCATAATTTTAAAGACAAAATTACTCCATCCAGCTAGAAGCTGAGAGAAGAGTTCCAGGAACAAGCAGAAAAAGATGACAACAACTTTGAAGCAACTGTAACCTCACAAAAGCTGATGGGGGAAATGTAATACATTTTACCTTAGAATCTCTCAATAATGTATGTATGCATATCCAAAATCATACCTTTTGGATTTAGTGCTTGTTCTTGGTCTGTACTCATGAGATTCATCTTCTATGCCATTCTGTCTTTTATACCAATCAAACAAAGTGCGCAGGATAGAGGGTAGACAATATTCTGAAAGTGAGCTCATTGAGCTTATTACCTATGGGGAAAAATACAACAAATTAACTGGTGCTCAAGTTTCCCTTCCTCTACAAAAAAAAAGGACTAATTCAATGGTTAGACATGTTCTTGTTTTCATCTCATTTTTGAGATCCATGGTACAAGCAGTGACTTAATATTCTGCATTTCCTGCTG